TTATTTTAATTCACACCACGCGTCACGCGTTCAGTTGCAGCAACGTTTTGTTTCGCAACCAATTAGCGGAGCGGTGCGCAGTGCGCGCGCGCTACGGACCGTCGAATAGAAAGAATGATGTTGGAACAGTATAGTTCTCTCAATGTAAAAGGGGTGTACTATACTATAAAATAAATATGATGCTAGTTAAATGGGTATAATAAGCTATTCATGCACTTTCAACATTATTTAATAATTTAAATTTTAATATAGAATGTCATGCAAGTTATATTGGAAAGATATAAGATTACTTTTTATTATTTTATTTTTATGATTCTAAAATATAAATATAATTTAGTAATTTAATTTGCTTACTTACATATAAATAAATAAAAATCTATTTATAATTTTGTTTATCAGATTAGTAATTCCTTCAATAATAGAACAGTGTTTTACGATCTTGTACTATTATTGTATTATCTTGTAAAATTAATTTTCATTTTTAGCTTTAATGTTCTTTATAACTCTAAGATCCTATATGTTTGATAGTGTAATATATAATTAATTATAACTTTATTCAATACGAATTCAGTTTTAATTTGATCTATTTTTTATTTTAATAATTCATATCAAATTTGCGAGCGGAATGATTAATGTTATCTACTAAACAATTAAATTAGCAAATTTTTTATTCTGGAATGCGTTAGTAGATACTTACTTATTTGAAATGTAAAAATAATCTGTTACATATTCTAAGTTGTTTAGGAACACAGCACTAATGAATATTTTCGTGTTTAATATATATACGTGTTTATGTTTATGTATAGTAAATTCGTCACGGTCTGCCTGCATACAATGTGAGATACAATTGCAGTCCAAATTTGCATTTTAAGTTGGACATCCGTGGAACTTTTGTGATTAATTCAATTATTAAGCGCGCATTACAGGACGAGGTACTTTATAATTGTTTTATGACTTTGTTTCAAATATTACTAAACAACAGTTTTGGCTGCAACGTAATGTTATTGTAAAATGACACCTCTCTTAGGAGATTGTTAATTTATGATCATCCTGATTATGGAACACAAGCTTTTACTAGAGTAAATTAAGATAAAAATATTCTATGTAAATCTTGAGTTTGGTTTAACGGTGAACTAAGTTTTTTTAAGATCAGTACAACAATTTAAAGCTCTTTAAAATATGTATATAAATTTTTACACTTATTATACGAATTAGGAGAGTAACATAATTTTCCAAATACTGTTTAAGATATAAAACATTTAGGTACTTAATGTAAATGTAATGTTATGTAAATTGACTTTTTTTTGCAATGTTAAATGTTTAACCATTTATCCAGAAAATTTGGACTTGTGAATTTTTATTTTTACTCAGCTTCAGGTAGACGGATGACCGAACGGGTTTGACTACGTTATGTGCGTTTATTTCATTAGAATAATTAGAATAATAAGTAAATTATAGGACGTAATAAGGAGCGTATGTGTGTCCATCAGTTGACCGGTACGGTGATTACATCTGGCTCGATACGACTGCGCATAGTTTCATCGAGGACGCGGCCGCTCGTCACACGTAATTATCTTGCAGTACGCTAATAACGTATGCAAATTGTAAGCGGCAGCGCCATAGCGGACGCGGATAGGAACAGCGCCGTTGGGCCGAACGGATCGCTTCACCAGCGCCCGATCAGCGGGAACAAATAACTGAACAATGAGAAATGTCTTCATTTTCTCAGTTCTCACTACGTTCTGTCATTTCTATTACTCACAAAAATGATCTCCAAGTCAATGACTCGTATTTTTTTTGCACAATCTACAATGTTTCCTGGCAACACAATGCTCAATAAAAAAACGAAACCCCGCGCGAGACCATCGGCTACCATTAAAATTTTCTATTTGCATACAGGCATATAATTAAGGCGTAATAACAGCCTCTGTGGCGCAACAGAGAATAAGTTTTGAGCAATAATTTAATGGTTTGTATGCAAAATAGCCTCACCGTTACGTGTTGATGGGCCGATGCGCTGAGAGAGCGCGTCACGGTACACGGGAGCGAATTAGTCCTTCATTTAAATTACATTACTCCGTGCATATTAGCGTTATACGTGACTGTCTTGGTGTTTTTACGCCGCGGTCTCATTGAGTAGTAACAGCCCGTGTTGGTATATTGTGAACGCATCGATAGTTCTAGAGGTCAACATCACTCGAATCGCACCCTCAGCGCGATCGACTTCGCAGAGTTGTTTTCCCTATGCGAGTACTCGACCGTTCGAGCGAGCCGTGTGAAAACTTTGCGCTCCCCACGGCACCGAGTGCCAGTCAGGAGACTCTTAAAAATAAAAACCGCCCACTCGCTGCGTAAATATGGCAGATGAAAATCTTTTATCGCGGTCACGTAGCGCCGTCGCGTCACGACCGTACCACGTCACTCCGGGCAATAAAGAGCGAGCCGCATTCTAATTTAAAACAAACAGCGATTTTAGCTCAAAAATTTTACTTCAGAACATGTACTGTTTCGGTATTTCTACACTGTGGAACATATCTTTAGTGTTCGTCAACGTAGCGGTCTATACCGCTGTGCTATGCGCGAGATCGCTCGATAGTCGAAGTCAAACGTCAAAGGGAAATTAAGATATAACTCTCGGTGTGAACATATTAAAACACAGTTATCGTTGCGATTGGACCGGATTGAACAATTATATTGTATAGTTATTAATCAGAGATACAGTTCTCTTTAATAATACGTGTAATATCGATGTATGAAGGCAGGCGGCTGTAAATCTCGTAAAACGTCCCGCCGCCCGCGGCCGCAGACCGGGCCGACTTTCACAAACGTTTTTACCAATAGAGATGTTACTATTGAACTAAATCAGTCCCGCTGCTAGAGAAGAGACACTATCATAAAACATCGCGTTCGTTGTAATATCCTGTTATTTTTTCCTAATAATCGTTATTGGTGTTTATTTATTACGAAGTTCGAACTAAATTACAGGCTTTATCGAGCCAACAAAAAATAAAGGGTTAGACCAAAAAGTGAGTCGTCCGTTCGATCGCAATAAGTTTTCGATAAGGTCCGGGCGATTTAATTGCCGGTTGTGATCTGGTTTTACATAAAAAAGATGAATGGCTGCTCTGCCTAAAGCTTGTAAAACGTTTTGGGTACATTTATAGATTTTTTTCTAAGGATAATCGTACACTTTCACCTTCGTTGATGCGATCCTTACATATTAGTTATTCATAATAGCGACGGACGGTATCTGCCTGGGGACTTAAGTAATCAGATCTAGATGCGTATGTGATATAAGTAGATACATATCGATGCGTGTGCGTGCGGCCAATAAAACAACTATTAGTTTTAAATTAATTCATATTATCTACAAGGTTTGCAGCAAAAAGTGTATACTTAATCGTTTACCAGCATGGTTAATATTGTTCAAATTTGTTTATTGTTTTTGTTATTTTAATGTTTTGACGCTTTTAAATACTTGTATCACTTTAAGAAGCGAAGGTGTAACGAGCTCCTAAAATTCGATCTCGGTAAATCATTGATCGTGTAATCGAGTTTAAAGAAAGATTGTGGGCGGCGCACGCGCATCCCATATGTGAACACATCCTCTCACTAACCAAGTAAAACGTAAGCAGTTCAATCAAATTGCTTATAACGTCCTTTGAAATTAATTAACGATGTTTGAGAGTTTCAATTTGTATAGATTTTCCGGAGGGCGGCTCTCATCTTGGGGTCTGATATATTGCATTTATAAGTAGCATGGTATTGCATAGCGCATGCTTTGTTAATCCTATTTTCAAATACAAACTAGCGTAATGTATCGTCGCTTCATTAGTTTTGATTTATTAGGTGACAAAAGAGTAGATAAGGTTCTTAAGAATGCATTTATTCATACAGTTTTAGATTTACGCGTTGTTCATGGATGAGATGTTATGATTTGCGTTGAAAATTGTTTTAGACATGTATGTATACGCGTATACGTAGGTACAATTACATAGAGTAAAAATTAGCATGTAGGTAATAGTTTACTTTATAATTCCGGTTCTGCTCTGTTTCGTGCTCGTTGCTCTCTAATGTTTTGCAACATTTATTTATTTATTAAACCGACGTAAGATTGTACCTTAATTTACTTAACGCCATTTTGCTGTAATTGTAGTTATTAATGTTATGTTTTATCAAGTTAACTTTTAGTGCATAACAAATAAAAGTATACTAACATATAAAATTTAGTTTCTACTCTATTATGTATGTTTATTATGTATCAATGTCCCATTAAGTAAATGATAAGAATGATTCACAATATGAAAATAGTCATAAATTACTAGTTTCGATTCATGCATGTTTTCGACGTAGTCGAATTAAATTAATAGATATGTTTTAATTATTAAATATAAGTAAGTAATATACAAATAGTAATGAAATATTTGTCTATACTGTAGATAGACGATGCTATAAAAAGTAGAGGTACATACTAATGCTTTGCATTACTTTCTCCAATTTTTCTTTGCGTGTAAAAAATCTTGATATTTTTTCTTCGAGTGAAACTCGCCGCGCTTTCCCTAGTTAATTAAATATTTTACAATTATCCGTAGCATTGCATTTATGACTGGAGGTATAACTTGTTAAGGATGATATTTATGTGTTAGTATGTGTTTTTCTGTATATTGCATGCTTTGTTAGTGAAATTTGATCAGATATGTTTCTGAATGTGATTTTTCTCTCATCTTCCCCAGCCTGCCAGGAGACAGGTAAATCACCCCCTCAACATTATCTACTATGCTTTAGTTCGCTTTGTTTCTTAACACATTTCGCTAACCATATCACTTTTGGTGTTTGTTTGCTTGTATAATTTACTTTTGTCATTTGAATAAAATTTTATTTCGAAGCATTTTTTGAAAAGTATAACTCGATTAGTTTTTAGAGTTTTCATTACAATATCCATTTTAGATTACAGTTTTGTTATAGATGGATGTGTACTGACTGTGACATGTATGTGACAGAGGGTCGGGAGTGCGTGAATTGCGGCGCGACGAGCACCCCGCTATGGCGACGCGATGGTACGGGCCACTACCTCTGCAACGCCTGCGGACTTTACTACAAGATGAATGGCCAGAATCGACCTTTAATCAAGCCTAAACGAAGATTGGTGAGTGTAAGAATCCGACCAATTTTCATTGTTTGCATGCAATTATCGCCGGCTGAACTAGACTAGTTAGTATTAGAGACGAAACCGGTGATTTAAATGTTAAATTTGACGATATTTGTCTCTATTACTACCTATCTAATTCATTATTTCGTCTTACTGATTCATGTTGTAATTCGTATTTACGTTTGTGATATTTTCGTTAGGAACTCAATCTTATAATGTTTGTTTTAAATCGCACGTGTCCGTCTTTTATTCATCAAATATCGAGTTGTAGTTGTTGATTTCTGGACCGGATATAAACTACGTTTATAACATTGGACGTTTATGTTTGAGATAACATACTTACGAGTAGGAACCGAGACAATTCAAGCAAGAATGGGTGTTGTTTACAGTTAAGGGGCAGCAATAAAAAGGCGGAGCATGCACGCCCGTGCACGACACCGCATTAAGCGCTCACACAAATTGGGCACTTATGAAATTTTGAACGTTTCGACGAAACAGCTCAGCGTCCACTAAACTAGCCTCTGCATGACCGCCATAAATCATCCGGTTAACGTTTAATCTGAGGTTAGGTACGCATAAAACTGAAACAATGCGACATTTGGTGGTCGCGCGTCACGTCGCATCATTCGGTCCTCTGGACCAGCACTCATGTGCCGTATGCCGGCTAACGAGTGGCCCGTGCGCTCAATTGTTGCTACAATTTACCTTAATACCCGCCTCGCGCACATAAACCAGCGGAATGGCCCGGAATATTTGCCTTTTGTTGGCCAAATTACGTAATGCCCGACGTTATGGTTTCATTGCAACGTTCCACCCGTGCTCGCATTTCCCTTGCTACGTTACTATCGCTGTCTTGTTATTCTTCACGATTCTCTTAATAAGAAAATTCGTGAAGTCCGTTAATATTTACATGCTCGTAATAAGCGCTATTTTGTAAACAATCCGCCGACGCTCGTCATGGTTTCCAAACCCGGATGTTGGTAACGTTTTAATATTTAGATTCACTGTACTGTGTAGAGATACCGTTAATACCGCTCGGGAAAGATTGAATTCTCACTTTTATTTTCGTTGTGGGAAACATGAGACAATGCGCACCTCTAGCCGCCTCTTGTGCTTCGGACGTGTCATGCCGTGTGTTGGCTAATCCTGCAGGTTAGTTGAGATCGTGAAACGGCAATTGTGTGCCCATCACTAGATGAATAGATAAATTTTTTAAAGAGAATCCGAATAATTAAATTTATTTAAATTATTAATTGGTACAAGATACAACTTATTATCCTACTGTTATTTAGTAGGTATTTGTAAGTTCGTAAAGATACTTAACCCTTTGTTAATCACCGAATAAATTGATTTTGGACACAGACAGATCGTAGCCTAGATTGAAATATAAATGAATAATCTTTTTCAAACAAGCAGAGTAATACACGATTATTTTTGTCTAATGTAAAATAATAAGGTAAAACATATTAAAAAGGAAACTACATTTTCTTAATGTTAGCAAAACATGGCTAATTTATTTAAATTAACTATTGCCTAATTGTTATGTAGTGTTGGTTGATTACGTATTAAAATCATATTGATTGATATGTGAATTCCGATTGAGGATTCTATCGTTAGATCTTTATTGGTTCTCGAACAAATTCTTTAATCACTCCACAGTTGTGATACTTTAATTTGAATAAATTTAAACCCCAAACTAGTACAGAGCAATTAACGGAATCCATTAAAACCCCGACCTTGTATGAAGCGAATTAATTAGACAATACACCTAAAGACAAACACGAATTAAAGCTTAATTTTTATTCATAATAATTAGACTAGGGCAATTAAACGGGCGCACTTGACACAAATTAAATGAAGTGGGAATCTGTATGACAATACAAATTGGTTACTTAGTTTTGTGTTGAGCTAAACAATTGGAAAATTGTTCGTCTAGTATAATAATAATTATTCATTAGCCTTGGTATTAAACAATAAATTGTTTTAACTACAATCACTGTGACCTTTTTCACAACCCGCTGTTGGATTCATTAATAATAAAATTACCTAATACCGGAGTAGTAGATCACATAATGTGCTCATTGTATTTTCATTATTTATACGAGTATGTGATATTATATTCATATTTTCATTAGTAATATACTTATTATTTTGTATTATAATATTTTATTTATACATATATCCTTTATGCCGTGTAGTTCCGGCAAAGAATGGGTCATCCCTTCCTTTCCAATATGTGTCGTAAGAGGGGATTAGGGGAACTTAAAGGTCGAGGTATTGGCAGCAGCGTCGCTCTTAAAACATCGCCAAAAGTCTAACTACGGTTGCCAATCCGCCTGCCAAGCGTGGCGATTACTGGTAAAACCTCCTTTATTGTGGAGGTTAACGTTTAGCAGTGAACAGTTAAAAGCTGATATTTTGTATGTGCTTCAGGGTTATATACATATAATTATTTTTTACCAAATGTGTTATACATTTGGGCAGGTTTTATTTATTTACAATATAGTTATAATACCTGATATTAGATTATCAGTCATGGAATCTTTTGGAAATTGACAAATGTAGGTACGTAATTTAAACGTTGGTAGCAAAGTCCTAACTTCAAAACTAGAGTAGACTCTACGAGGTTTGTCCGGAAAGTACGTATAAAAGTTTTTTAAAAATTTTATTTTACAATTATTCAGGTAAATCAATTTTATCCCCTTCAAAGTACTCCCCCTGTGACATAATGCACTTGTGCCAACGCCGTTTCCACTGTGAGAAGGCTCCTTGAAAGTCCTCTGGTTGTAGGTTTCTCAGCTGCCCCGTCGTAGCTTTTTTTATCTCATTTATGTCCCCCAAATGCCGCCCCCGAAGTACCAATTTGGTTTTTGGGAACAAGAAGAAGTCACACGGGGCCAAATCCGGCGACTAGGGGGGGTGTTCGGTCACCGTAATGGAATTTTTACTCAAAAACTCACGGACAACAAGAGAGGTTTGGGCAGGGGCATTGTCGTGGTGAAGAATCCAACGCCCATCTCGCGCCAATTCTGGACGAACTCGTGCCACACGAGCTTTGAGGCGTCTGAGCACATCGACGTAGAATTTTCCATCAACTGTCTGGCCTGGAGGGACGAATTCTTGATGGACAATCCCCCGAACATCGAAAAAAACAATCAACATTGTCTTGACATTTGAGCGGGATTTTCTTGATTTTTTTGTTCGTGGTTCCCCGGATGTCTTATCGAATTAGATCGGCAAAAATTTCACGGCCATTCTTGCCGAGTTTCGAGAGAAACTTGATTACGACGCGCTGCTCTTCAACGGAAGCGGGCTCCATGCCGACGGGGTTTCGTTAAGAGGTAACTTCACAGATGGCGTGACAAGCCAGTTCGCACCGCACGGCGGTCAGACCAGAACTGAAGCATTGTTAGGGACATAAGGAAGGGGTCCTGCGCTTACCTGGCCTCCCCACTCCTCTTTCTCGCATTCCAGAACACTTTTATACGAACTTTCCGGACAGACCTCGTATATTAGACTTTGTTCTCCAAATTTTGTGTATACTTCAACTGAGGGTATTTTAAGAGAGCACCATATTTTTACTTATTTTGATCCTTGATTGTCATTAACATCAAAGAATTGTATATCAATTAAATTAATTAAATTTGTTTTCTACAAATTTATCAAATGTAGAAATAGCGCCGGTGCTCTATGAAAAATGTTTATATTTTTTTATAATTTAATTTTTTATCTTTCCAAGTGATCTTTCGCTTGGCGAGAATGACATATAAAAAATGTGTTGCGGTCATATTTCAAACACAAATATCTATAAATGTAAAATTAAAAATTCAAATAGAGTAATAACTGGCGTCGGTAGCAAACATTATAATTAAAATGCGTTTTGCCATCACGTTGTTTAAAGTAAAGATTGTTTTAAGATAAAGTTTTTATTATACAAGTACTTACTTACTAGTGAATATATTTAAAATTTATAATTATGTCAGAACATTAACGAGAGCGTCTGCATATCTAACATTCCTTTTGTGAATAGGACCTTATTATATCTACTTCACATATTTAGAATATGTAGAATTTCCATTCTTATAAATAGTATATAAAATTATATTTGCCTTGCTAAATTAAGCAATTTTATTTGCGTATATATATGCGTATGTAGATAGTAACCTAAAATTTTGGATGATTTCATTCTATTATTTAAAAATAACATCATTGTATGGAAATTTGTGTATTTTCTAAAACTTTATAATGCCTTTCTCACAGACGTGTCTATTCATCACAGAAGTAATGTTAATAAATTAAACAGTTCCTTAGAAGAAGCGTTGAAATTCATATCTTTTTCCTAATATATTTATATTATATATACTATCAAATTAATTTATGCAACATACCAGATCTGTAATTCCAAGCGCTGTAAAAGCCCAGTTCTTATAATTTTGAAAAATATAGACATCAATTATTTTGGTTGATGTAAGTTATAAAAAAAAATTTGCAAGACAATTTAGTGTTAAAAATATTTATAACACATTTAATTTATATCGCATATACGTACTTTTATATGGTTTTTGAACGTTGAGAGAGATATTTAAACTTATATACCTCTATTAATACATACAATAAAATCGTTACTGATCGCTGTCTGTACATGGAAGATATATAATAAAAACTATTATAGGGGGACTATTTAAACGTAATGATTATTAGATGTTTTGTCTGTTTCTTTGTACGTTTGTGCACGCTAATTTCAGAAAAGGCTTAACCGATTTGAATGCGATTTTTCACTAATGCGTTGCGGTTTAATCCACTTAACATTTAGTGTTTGTTTTTTTTCAATCGGTTCGTAAATAAAAAAGTTATATCAATCACATATAAAATGGTATAAAATAACCGATCAGTTGAATTGACTGAATCTTTAAGGTAATAGGAATGTAATTATATTACAATATAAAATCGGATTCATGAAGAATTCCAACGGGAATGATATATGGGAACTACATAGTTAGAAG